AGCAATCCTGGAGGACGATAGCCTTGTGCCCATTTCATAGATGTGGAAATTGAGCTTGGCCCCCTGCCCAAAGCTGCTGTATAGGGGGCCCTCAATATGAAGCCCTGTTTATGAGTCTAGAGGCATGAACACAGCCCTCAGGGAGAGTAAAAGCTCAGGTGGGGTTAGGCACACCTCCTGGAACCTGCAGAAAAGTGATCAGCTCTGAACTGGCCCCAGGCTGATCTAGTGTTCCTAAGAAACAGGGCTAAACCTTTTTTTAGTTATTTGGTAGTACTGGGCACTCTACCTATATTCCCAGTTTTGGAGGTCTTTTTTGGTTTTGGGACAGGGTTTCAATAATTTTCTGAAGGTCTTGCTAAGTTGCTGAGACTGCCTTTGAACTTGTGATCTTCCTGCCTCGGCCTCCCAAAAAATGGGATCACAGGCGTGTGCCACCATACCCAGCCTAAACTTTTTTTCTGGCCGTTGAGGACACTGGTGATGTAGGAGAAGTTTAGGCTAGACATGAAGAACCATCCTTTCAGGCGAGACCTAGAAGATCCAGAGCCACCTGCCTTGGACATTCAGCCCCACAAGCCAAAAGACAGGATCCTCTGGGCCACTGGGGTACATGAGATGACCTGTGACTCTCTGCTCTCCCCCAGCTCCTGAGAGGACTTGTCGGGCCACTTTGATCAACGAGTCCCCAGTGCTTAGCTACACAGACCTTGTGGGCTTCAGCTACCAGGTGGCCAATGGCATGGAGTTCCTGGCCTCTAAGAATGTAGGTGTGGTCATCATGGGGCAGGGTGGGGCTGTGGGTCCTCCAGATGGCCAGAGTCCTCCAAAAAACAACTACCTCTCCTCTGGGGGTGGGAAGACTGAGGACCCTCCACCTGGACGTTTTCCCCAAACCCTCRTCACGGAGGGCTTCCCACAATTCTCCTAAGGTGTCCTCTGCTCTCTTCCCTGACGCAGTGTGTTCATCGGGACCTGGCAGCCAGGAATGTGCTCATCTGTGAGGGCAAGCTGGTCAAGATCTGTGACTTTGGCCTGGCTCGAGACATCATGCGGGACTCAAACTACATCTCCAAAGGCAGTGTGAGTACCTACMACCCTGGGGATGGTGACCATGCACCTCTGACCCCAGGATCAGGTTCCCCCTCCTGATCAGCATGGCTTTAGTGCTTAGGAGCTCAGCACGGGGCTCCTCGTGGCTGGTCCTGCTCAGTTAGATGGTCAGTGCCTGCCAGCTGTGTGCACAAGGACAAGAGAGGAGCCACTAGCTGCACCTGGAGTAGGAAAAGGCAAATAATCCCAGGTCCACACGGCACAGCTGGGGCTGAGGGACCAGCTGCACTGGCCAGGGATGGGCAGGAAAGGGGTGTGCAGATCAAATCTGTTGTCCCAGGAGTGATGGGCAGAGGAAGAAACCCAAGTGACACGGTAAAACAGTAGCTCACAGGCAGTAGTGGGATTGGCTTGGATAAAATGTGACCATCCTGCTTCCCACCCATCTTCCTGCTTCCTGTGAACCCCAGAGGTRGAGGGGCTCTAGAGCCCAGGGACCAAAGGTAGCCAGAATGAAAACTGGGAGGTGGCTTGGAATGTCCCTTGTCCCTCCACCCCTCTTCTTAGACCCAGGGCTTTTCCCCAGGGACAGGGGCTGCTGTGTCCTTAGCTAATTAGGAGGGAAGAYTCCCTGCTGCTGTGGCCAGGAATGGGGTGGGCATGGGAGCTGTGCAGACCCTGGAGGAGGAGGGGGAAGCAGCTGGCAGTGGAGCTGCTGGACCTCCTC